GTTATATATAGGGATGGTGATTTGCCCCGACCCGGTGGGGAACCCGGTTCACCCAACCCGAACGGGGACGGGGATTCCTCGTTAAAACGGGTCCCGGGGCCGGGGCCAGGGATCCCCGGTAGACACAAACTGGGGACGGGGGATGTTACTCAAACCGCGGACGGGGCCGGGGATCCCCGGTAGAATCAAAATAGAGGATACTTACGGGGTTTAATCGGGGATTGACCGAGGTTCTACCGGGTTTTGACCGTGGATTGCTAGACATTTGACCGGGGACGGGATAATAATCCCCGTACCCGCCGGGGACAGGGGCCGGGGCTGGGGGACGTTACTACAAACCAGGGCCGGGCCCGGGGATTACAAAACCCGTCCCATCCCCGTCCCGTTGCCATGCCTAGTTATATAAACATACAAATGAAATACTTTACAAGACTTAAGTTTATTAAACCAAACTATAAAGCATCTCATCTAAAAATGTTATAATAGGTTTACTGAATGTTTTTGGGCGTTTCAACAAACTTTTTAGACCACTTTTAGATAAAGTATCGTATTAACTATTTTATAGAACCATTTTAAGAAGTGTCATATAAGCTCATCTATTTATATGACACTTCTTAAAATTGTTCTATCGATTTATAGGACACTTGTGTTCATATGACACTTTTTTCAAATAGTGTCACACGACACTTTGTTTTAAAATGGTCCTATAAACATAGTATAACACTTTTAGATATGACGCTTTTATGTTTATTTCTATAAAATTAAGTCCTATAAACTATCGTATTAGAATGCTTAGACATATTAGGAGTCTTATAAACAAGTGAGTTTCAGCGACGCGACGACATGTCGTCTCTATAAATCGTTTGTGACGATAAATTGACTTTCAGCAACGACAAAAGTCTTTGCCAAAACCCTTCTTTCTTGTGGTGAAACGTAATATTGTTGTGGTGAAATGTTATAACAATAAGCTTTTTTTCCACCAAAGTACAAAACAGATGGAGTTTTTGGGTTAATAGATTCGTCAATCAAGTATTTATCAACATCATTCATATTCTCCAACACATCCATTTGTTGTTGCTGCAAAATCGATTTCAAAAATTTTCTTCTATTAGATTCTTTGCTGGTGAATCTCTTTTGATAATCTTTAAATATGCTAAAAAGAAATAGGAAGATAAAATCAACAAGTATTATGTAATTTTTTTTTATTAACATGGATATTTAACCCGCTATGCGAGCCGACTAATCCCAGGACGACCACCTGCTTTGCAGATAGCCCGGAGTCACTGCATTTAAACTTCCTTGGATTTGAACCTGGGATCTCCTGTTACTTTTGACCTTTGAAGGCAAGCTCAAACCGATCAGGCAACACCCTTGTGGTTTATTATGTAAAAGTTTACACATTATTGATATAAGAAGGGGGGGGGGATTACATTTTTGGTCCCTCGTCCTTGGTTACTTCTTGGTTTTTGTCCCTTGAATTCGTAAAGTACACTTTTGGTCCAAAAATCGTGTATTTAAGCCTAAACAAGTCCCTCCCGTTAACGTCGTGAGAAATACGGCCGTTAGACATGCTATGTGTTCCTCATGTGAGGGACATTTTGGTCTTTGTACCTGATTTTAATTTATTTTAGAAATAATAAAAGCTATATTTATATTTATAGTATAATTTAAATAATAAATAAATAAATAATCAATATCCGAAGTTGCACCCGTCCCCTCAACTAGGGGTATTTACCAAACGTTTACCTGAGTAAGAGCTTACTAAGTCACATTACCTTACCGGATGAATGTGGTAAGGACCAAGAATCTTACCCGGTAAGAGCAAGGCAAGGAAAAAGTCTTACCCGGTAAGAGCAAGGCAAGGAAAATAGTCTTACCCGGTAAGTGAAGGCGATTGACTCTTACCACAGTTAGCACTTACCAGGTAAATTGTTGCATATAATGTCGTTTTTGTGAACTAAAATCTTACCGGGTAAGTAAATGATAGTGTTGAATTTTACCCGTAAACTCTCACCGGTTAAGTGTTTGGTAAACGGCCCCTAAACTTGATTAAATCTCTCCATAAATTTCTCCATGAAACTCTCCATTTCCCGCAAATTTGCTTAAATATCTCCATATAAGCTCTTCAAAAGTGGCCAGTCAAACCTTCTTTCTTCCGGAAACAACGAGGGAGACTCGTATCCGTTGTGAGTGGAGAGAACACAAAAGTATGCATCTCAACAAATGTGTCATATGGCACTTCAAGACATAATGTCCAAGTGCCCAACGACCTCTAACAACTTTCACCTCCAGAATAGGTTGACCTTAGTGTCTATTCATAAGAACAACAGCTCAAAGCTCACATACTTAATGCCTCCCTCGAATATAGCACCTCAAGCATAATGGTTCTTAGTGTATATACCCTTCCGAGTAGCACGCCAAAACTCAACCCTCTTAGCACCTTACTTGAAATCATAGACGGACCTAGAGGGGTGGTCAGGTGGCACGTGCCACCGCATTGTTCCTCCGTGGTAAGGTAAAAAAAAAGTAGGTTCATGAAATGTGCAATCGTTTTATTCTAGAAGGTGCAAACGTTTTATATGGTGTCACCGTATCCAAAAATTCTTGGGTCCGTCTCTGCTTGAAATGGAGATGATATACTTGATTCTTAAGTCCTAATATCAATGAATGCTTTAGATGTTGCTTAAATCTTCTATAGAATGATCCCCAAAGAAATTTAATGAGGAGAGAAGCTGAGTTCACTTTGGTAGTAAATAAAGGAAGAGAGGAAAATTGAAGATAACCAAGTATGTAAAAGGAGAAGGGACCATGGGAAAAGGATGGTCGATCGCTGAGTTTAAGGCCCCTGGATCGTGTCAGGCGTTGTTGGGTGCTACATAGGCCGCATGCCTAGGTCGCTTGTGTCCCCACGACGCATGCCCAGCCTGCACCGGGCGACTTTCCTCATGTGCTCAAGGGCGCCTCAAAAGTGGCCTCTGTCACCGCCTCTTGTCCCCTTTTTGAGCTAAACCACAGTAGCTCAGACACCCAGACCGTATGACTGGTTGTTTCTCAACCGTTCTCGCCCGGAAATCACCTGAAGCAATCCCGAGGTCAACTCGAAACATTTTTAGCACTAAATCCAAATTAAAAAGTCAAAATTTAAGAAATTCCTGAATTTTCCAAAATATAGATTTTCTGAGATTTTAGGGTACATAAGTTTCTTCATATGATCCATACTTGTATGGATTTGGAGTTGATTATTTGTTATGTTCATTAAATTTGTTTTATTTTAATGGTTTTTTGTGTTGTTGATTAGGTAGGATGGGCAGTTGGTCAGATCTAGTATGGATTGTATATGGACGGTAGTTATTTAGTTTTTACTTTGGATATGTGTTTAACGGTATTGGAGGTGGTGGAAGGGCGGTGACGGTGGTTGGTTGGCAGTAAGTGGATGGCGGTGGTGTGTGTTCTTGGTGGAGAAGAATGGAAAGGAGATGGGATGAAGGAGGGTAAACTGACCAAATTGCCCTCAGATGAGGGGCAAATGAGGTAACTAGAGGAGCTCTTCTAACAATGTTAAGTGACGGGACTAGTTTGGGATTCAAAACACGATTTTTGGACCAAAAATGCACTTTACGAGTTCAAGGGACGAAACAAAAGGCATCCATAGACAAGGGACTAAAAAAATATAATTCACTCTCTCTCTATATAATAAACATTATTAATATCTATAATAGACTATTTATATATATTAGCGACCGGTTGAGTTGGGTTGAATTAGTCTAACCCAATTTCAACCATTTTAATTGGGCGATTTAGTGGTTTGGCGAGCTAGCGGTTTAATGGTTTGGCAAGCTGGCGGTTTCGCGGCATGGATTTAACGGTTTGACGGTTTTTTGTATAATCCTAAATTTTACATGTAATAATAGAGACGATATTAGAATTCTCTATCACAAAAATGAAAATAAAATTGACAAGTTGACACTTTATTTAAAAAGGAACACTTATTTTTATAGGGAGGGTGTTTTTAACGTATGAAAAAAAGGCAATTGATTCTTCTATATCATCACTTATACAAGGGAAAATTTTATAAAAATCCACAGATTTTTTTATTTTAAATGATTAAGTCTTTAAACTATTTTTTTAATGAAAAAAATCATTGAACTTTCTTATTTTGAATGATTAAATTACCGAACTTTTTTTGAATAAATAAACCATCGAACTTCAAATATTTGGTTACATCTTTTTAACCAAAAAAACTAACTGAAATCCGCCTATAAATATTTTAAATTAAAAAAATCTAAATCAATTTTAATGGTATAAAAATTCTAGTCATATATAATCACATTGCACATGATTTAATTAAAAATTCAATCTAGGTTTAATTAAACCTTGAAATATTATGATGGATTCTCATTTTAGACCATAATGAGCTTTGCAAGTTATTCATAATTTGAATAAGTAATACAACATTGAGAAATCAATGGATGTGTAAAATAATGGAGGGTCAATCATCAAAGTTTACGATCAAACAAAAAAAAAATACTTATAATATATTAAGGACGGAGCAGGATGAGAAATACCATTCCCGTCCCTGAACGTTGTAGATAGAGACAGTGTAACCTTGTACTTAAATCGGACACCAGGGTACAGGAAATTTCCATCCCGACAGGATAAGGTGAATCGATTATCCTTCTGAAGAGTCGACCTAGGGGTCAGATCAAGTGATGTCCCGAGGCCTCACAATGCAAGGAGGTATCAACCTTCAACCGATTATGCCCCAAGGATAGCTTAAGTATTGTGATTCTTTTACCATTCTAAATCTCATCTCCTTTCTCGACTTCCCAGTGACTGAGTGTTGCCCGATTTTCATTTCCCACAACTCTCTTTGGAACGAGTTTCAGATAGATTTCGTTGCAATGCAGAAGCGAGGTTGATTATGCCAAATGAAGCAAGCCCTTATGTTTTTTCAATGTAGAAATCACATCAATTTACTTAGTTGAAATTACGGTATTTGTTTTATTGCTTTTGTTTGTTTGGATTGGTATAAAAAAAAATTATAGTTTTAGAAGTTGGGTTGTTTGAAATAAATACAAGGATATATTCGTCATTTTCCTTTTCTTGTGCCAAATTCCAATTTTACCCTCTTGGCCATAATGGGACCAAATTCCAATTTTACCCTCTTGGCTATAATGGGCCCACATTACTTGGCAAGAAGGGATTGGCTCCCACATCATGACATGTACACTTCGATACTAGAGCTTCTCAAGGAAAGGCATAATGGACAAGCCAATACGACGCCGTCGCATTCGCTACAAACGCATAGATGCCGACACGGCAACAGCACCACCGAGGCAACTCGTTTCCCACACGCCTTACAACCGGGTCCACTCGCCACCACAACTCGTTCCGGGTCAATGTACGCCGATTTGGCATCCTCTGTATCACCGGCGGCGCACCCTGGTGGCGCATCCTCAATTTGTGATATACAATACCTACCTCCTCCTCCGCCGCCGCCGATCACCAAAGCCTGCTGCAACTGAGCCTGTAGAGACGCCGCCTCCGCCTCATGAGCCCTCGCTCTCGCCTGCCACACCTGCGCCTCCATGCTAAGCTGCGCAGCGCGAGCCTCCAGCTCGGCTCTGCGCCACACGGCTTTCTCCGCCTCCGCATCCTTGTCCTTCAACCTCCGGGAAACCGACGCCTCAGCCGCTTCCAGCAGTGCAAGATAGTGCTTCTGTCTCTTCTCTGCTAGCGTACGCCGTATCTCTTCTCCCTACAGAAACCGAATTTTCAACCACCCACCTCGGAACAACAATCCAATTCAACAAATATTCATCCATTTTTCATCTAAGATTTTACCTGGATTTGCAGGAAATGCTCGATTTCATCTCGTTGTTGGTTGATTTGGGTCGAAAAGTCTTTTGACATTGGATACAGACCAATCGAAGATTGCCGTTGCTGATCGGAAAATGCTAACCGGAGACCGGTATTTACTCCGGAATGGAGCCGGGTGATGTCAGTGAGTTGATGTTGATTCAAACCAGCTTCTCTTCCTCTTTTTCTTGGATTAATCCCACCTGTCAAAAACACACTTTCTGTTACCGTAAACAATGAAACATTTCAGTGATTTGTAACAACAGATTGATCCACAATACCTGGAAAACTATCCAAAAAGATGTCGTTAGGAGATTGATGATCAAGAAATCTTGAATCAATAGCACCTATTTGTGGTTGTAACGAGTAATCTTTCCCAATTTGATTTCTATCTTCTTGTAAGCTTCTGCATGTAAAATTCGAACCCTTTTTCCTAAATCAATCAAAACCCATTTGAGATGGAGATTTAAAGAGAGAGAATCAGAAAGCAAACCTGTGGTGGATGAGAGCATTTGTTGGGTACTGAGCTTGAACAGCCATTGTTGTTGCTATGATTGAATACAGGGGAAGAAGAAGGAGGGAGGGAGGGAGGGGGGGTTATGGTTTGTGGGTTGATAAAAAGCCAACACAAAAATAGATGAAAGAGAAAGATGGGGGAAAAAGATGCTTGATTCCATAAATCTTTAATGCCATGGATTTTTGATTTTAAATATTAAATTTAATGTTGGAAATAATCAAGACTTCTTAATTAAGTAAATACAAAACAGTAAAAAAATTAAATATTAAATTCAATTGTTATTAATTCATGGTCAAATTTAGATACAAAAAATAAAATTATATATATATATATATATTGAAAAATTTTAATTGTAGTTGTTAGAAAAGATTTAAATAAGTAAAAAGATTAAAAAATTAGAAACTAAGCATAAATTATTCATATATGAATAATTAGTATACTTAGAGTTATTTGGAAATTTATATGTAAATACATGTTTGTTTACCTATTTTTTTTTTTCCAATTATTCATATATGAATCCATATTCTTTTACCAATAATTTACAATTTTTATTTAAACTTTTTTAAAAATTGTTAAAAGAAATCATAAACTTGGATCAAAGAACTGTTGTATTTTACTATTTTCCAACAAAAAAAATGAACCATTTTAAATAAATCATGTGATTTATTTTGGAAAGAAATTAGTAATTAAGTGAATTCTTTTTTGTTGTTGTTGAAATTGAAAAAATTTAATGAGCATTTAATTGCACAAAAAAAAACAGATAAGAAAATCAAAGCATGGTATATGTAGAAATTAGGATGCAAATTAATAGGGGTTATTTAATAGTTATTGAATGATTTGATGTAGAATAATTAAATAATTATAATGATTAAGGGACTTTCATTATATGGTGCAAAATAAAATATAATTGTTTAAAATGAAATCAGGGCGCTTAATGGTTAAAGGGGCTCAAGATACAAAATCATTCAGAGGGTTTTAGAACCATGAAGAGGTAGATTTTTTTTACCAAACAAAATTCACTTCTTAATGATTCAAATGTTATCTCTTAATAAAACTATTAAGAGGTAAACAAACAACCCTAAAACACCATTTCAAATATTGTTTTAAAAGATTTTATATTTGAATGTTATTGAAACTATTGATTTTGGAGTAAACTACAATTTTTGGTAAATGTGTTTTAATAAAATTATGATTTTTTTAAATATTTTTTCGATTATTATCATTTTAATTTTCTTATGAATTCAATTTCTACCACTAAGGGTCTGTTTGTTTTTTCAAAATTACCTTTTAATACCTCTAAAGTCTAATTCATTCAGACGTTTGAATATTAAGGATGTTTGTTTTATTTCTAAAATAAAAGCTTAAAAGCTCTAAATGTTCTCTGAAATTTTAAATAATAAACGTATCCTTTAATACCTCTTAATCCTAATCCGCCCTCAATCAAATGGTTCTTATTTTGGGGGGTTGAAAGAGATTTGTTAGCAAAAACTATTTATCTTTTATACTTTTTGTAAAAGACTATTTATCTTTTATATTTTTGCACTAGTTTGACCGATTCAGATTTCAGGCTTCAGATGTAAAAACAAACAATTTTATTGATCCAGATTTCAGACTTCAAAACCACCTCTTATAAATCAGAAGTGAAATCAAACTTCAGATTTCAGCACCTCTTATAAATTTAAAAATGATTGAAAATGTAAAAACAAACAATAGAGATAATATGCAATAATTTTACTATAACACATAGACCAAAATATATATTTTACTTAATCACAAGGTTGGTACCTGATTGGTTTGAGTTTGACTCCAAAGGTCGAAAGTACCTGGAGGTCCCAGATTCGAAATTAAGGAGGAATAAAAATCCCCTTGTGGCCACGGAAGTTCGAATGCGGTGACTCCAAACCATCTGCAAAGCATTTGTTCTGGGATTAGTCGGTTCGCATAACGAGATATATATATTCGATGATTACAAAGGTATCAAATATCGGTGGTATTAAGATAATAAAGACACCGACTGTACTATCAATAGTTTATAATTTCGAAGTTTGTGTTTGTTTGTTGTGATGTGATATTTTTACCTCAACAATTGGTGGTTTGTTAAGATATGATGATGAAATTGATATTGTTTTTTGTTTTATTATTTTTTTTAATTTCTATTTCAGGTAAAACAATAAATGTGAACGGTTTTATACGATGCTAACAACTAGGAATACGTACACTTTTTTATTTTCTCCTCTGATTATTGGGATACCACTTAACTGTCAGTGTGATCAAAATACAGGGATTTACATGTTTAAGAATAACAAATGCTCAGGGGCGGACCTAGGAGGGGTTGAGCGAGGCCCCGTGCACCCGTAAGTATTTTTTTTAAGGTATATGAAAGGTACATCCATTAAAACTTTGAGAGGTGCTCAGAGAGCATTAGAAAATACATAGAACAACAACCAAAAAACTAGAAAAGTCCTTAAAATCAACTAAAAAACTTAAAATTCTTTCGAAACATAGGTTTCGAGAACAAAATCTTAAGTAGGAGGGGAGGATTGTAACACACGTAATCTTAATGCAATCCTAACCTTTAGTCATGATAATTAGTAAATGAGGGATATTATAGTTTTTTATAAGGAGTTTGGGGTTTTCCAAACCCACATAACTCACTGTCCAATATCGGTTTATGGTCGGTTTATGGCACGGGCGAAATTTCACCGTGGCTTTAGCCACAGGGACTTCTAATCGACTTAAATGTCGATGTTTGCTTAGAGTTCTTACGTGCCGCAGAAGGTTTGCACCTTTTTTAACGACTTAGGTGGGGAAGGATTCCAGTGTCAAAGATTCTTCATAACAAAGGTGTTGACCTCAATTCCATCGTTTGCCCTTGTTGCGGCAATGTCGAGAAAACTATCAAGCACTGCTTCTTCTCATGTCCTTTTAGCTTTTCCTTGTGGAAGGACGTCTTCAAGTGGTGGGGTTGGAACTTGACGCCCTCATTTTCTTTTGATGATCTATTGAATGTATCAGGCTTCTTTGACATCTTGAGTTCTAAGAGTCACCATTGGAATGAGGTATTGTGGATTACTCTTTATTTAAATTGGAAGCATCGAAACCATCATGTCTTTTTTACAGTTCGAATGACCAACATGATTGGTTCTTCACGACGAAAATGCTTTCGTTCCAATGGATCTCCAAGCGTGCCAAAGGTTTCAAGTTGTCATGGTTAGAATGGTGTAGAGGTCAAGATTTTGTCGTCTAGTTCGTTTTTAGGGCGTGGGTTTTGTCGGGCCTCTTTTGGTTTCGGATCTTGCTTTTTCTTCCTCTTGTTGTTTCCTAGTCTTGGTTTTGTCTTTTGGTGTCTTGGGTTGTTTTCTACGTCTTGTAGAAAAGTTTTGTCTTTGTCATCGTCATATTTATGTAAATAGGGGATAAAACTTGAAGTTAAAATTAGGGGTTGCAATTCATACTCCCTTCATTCACATACAATCCAGGTTTTAGAGGTTGTTTGTTTACATCTTAATAGTTTCATTAAGAGACAACATCTGAATCGTTAATAAGTGAATCTTGTTTGACAAAAAAATCTATCTCTTAATGGTTCTAAAACTCTCTGAATGATTTTGTATCTTGGGCCCCCTAAACCAATTCAACATCCTAATTTCATTCTGAATAATTACCAAACAATTACATTTCATTTTGCACTATATTATAAGATTATGATCGCTTAATCATTCTACACCAAATCATTCAACAACTGTTTTATCTCACTCATATATTCTTTCATTTTTTGGATGTTTAAGTTTTGTTTTTCTTATGATGAAATGTTTTTATCATAATATCAAAATCAAGTACAACCAAATTCGACAGAAAAACACGATAACATGTCATTTAATAATTAACTAATAACTCGATTTTAACCATAAAATTAATTCGAAGAGATATAAGAAAATTATTTACAGCTAAAGAAAGAAAACAAATTTTAGAGGTGAGTTATTATACAACCTTTTATATTTGTACAATCAATACAACTCAATCTCAACCATCCATTTAATTTGATGAATATATGATTTCATAAATTTTTTAATTGTTTCTTAATATAAAGTATTGATCATAATTTATGAACCATAGTTATTTTTCATAAATATTCAAATCATAATAAATTAATCTCATCATTTTTATAAATATCTCAATTAATTGGATTGTATTGATCGTACAAATATAATGAGTTGTATTTGAAACGTTTTCAATAATTTTGATTCATATTTAATTATTATAAAAATACTATTTTCTATGTTTTTCTCCTATGAACCATCACTTCGTTGCTGAGTGAAAAGACAAGACAACCCCTACTTTCGTATAACAGAAGGGTGCCTACCTATGCTAACTTCTAAAGTTTTCTCAAGGCTACTATAGGCTTTTTACTTGTCAAAATACCACCACTAATGTTCAATTATTTTTTCAAATAAAATATTTTTTCATAATCTGAATTTAAAAAATATTTTTTTGTTAAAGCGAATCCTTATTTTATTGAAAAGTAATATATTTTGTTATTTAACTTAAAATATAAAAATTATATTTTATTGGAGTTAAACAATATCATGGAAGTAAGTTACTGAAAAGATAAAATATAAGTTTCAATTTTTATTTAATTATTTTGTTCATTATATTTATAAGATATATGTCTATATCATCAAATTTTGTTGACTAAAAGATCAAATCCTTTATAAAACATGGAAGTTATTGGAAAGGAGGGTTAATGGACAACGTTACCCCTCACTAACGAAAATTTAATTGATGACGTTATTAGATGGGGTCATATCCATTATAATAATAAAACTATAAGTAGTCTCTTGTTAATTTTTTTTTCAAAGACCTTACTCCTTAATTTAATAAACCATAGGGACCAAATTCACATATAACTTTATATTAAAATAGTCGACATTTGAATCGATTAATTTTTACATGATACTAGAGCCGATAGATAATTTCATCGAGACACTCACATCTAATCTAGCCTCCTATTGAAGTGGATATATTGTCACTC